GTTAGTGTCGGTCGCTCTGGGGTCGGCACAACGGGATCTGCCATTATATGCTCCCCTTGCTGGAACACAACGGCGAGGTTGCTGCTCTGGCATGAGTTCACTTTGTAGCGGCACCAACACCCGGCTGCGTTAGTAATATCGCCAACCGTCTCGCTGGCGGCCTCGCCAGCCGCCTGGCTAGCAGCCTTCGTACAGCGCTGCGACCGACACTCTGTCAGCACCGAGCGCATGCTGTGTGGGGTTAGCGCTAGTTGGGACTCCTCAGCTCTGTCGTGCTTCAGCGAGCAGGAAACGAGATCGTTCTTCCTGCGCATGTAGTGCGGCAACGACGCAAGGTACGTGTCTCGGGCTGCATCGCCCTCGTAGGATCGCCAGAGCTCCGTCCATGTGTAGTCGTGTTCCTCTTCGCCACCGCTAGCTGCGTCGCGGTTGGGCTGCTCCATCGCCTTAGTCGGTCGCCGTGCAACACGAAGTGCCGGGAAGCACAATGACTGTATCTCAGGATCCACCACCACTTGCGTAGGAGACGGCAGATTCTGAAATGACGAACGGCGGTGAGTGGGCACAGCGAGGTGCGGCATAGACGCTAAGCGAGGAAACCTCTTGACGTGTGAAGCCAATTGAAAGGCTGGTGACAGGTTGGTAATGGATGCAGACTCGTTGGTGAAGTGACACCGAGCTATGGTGAAGCAACACAGATCCTTGGTTAGTGTGTGGTGCGGATCTCTTGGTGAAACGTGCGACCGGCTTGGTGTTACCACCTGGTACTCTTCGGTAAGGAGAAGAGCTTTGTCGTTATGCCGCTGTTTCGATTGCTGCGTATTTTCAATCTGGCACGCAATCACTCTGGAACATACATTCTGCTCCGACCTATCCGCGCAGTGTTGCCCCCATTTCCGTGGCTCTTATTTTCTTCACAGAGATTGTGCTCTTCTTCTCTGTTGCCATGTACGAGGTGGATCCAAGTTACGATCGCAATAACCCAGGCTTCTCGAATCTACTCACCACAGGCTACTTTGTGGTGGTCACGGTGGCCACCATCGGCTACGGAGACATCACACCGACCAAAGGCAACGTGGCAAGCCGCTGCTTCGCTGTTATGATTATCATGTCGAGTACGTTGTTCTTGTCCATGCCTGTGGCCATTATCGGAGCAGAGTTCGATCGTGCCTGGAAGCAGCACGCAGAGAGTGTCAAGAAGTTCCAGCAACTACAGGCAGGAACCGAAATCCTCGTCAAGTAGAATGTGCCCAACAAACACTACCTACGACTAGCAGCGCTTATGGTCGAGGCTTCACTCAGGCACTTGTCACCGAAGCTACGTCCCAGGATTTCAATTTAAGCCACCTACGTGACATTACTGGCGATCTGAAGCAAACGACCGAGTTGTGTTTCCTCAAGTGCGAGGAACTGGCGGTAATGGTCCGTCATATGATTGTTGCAGAGTCTCAGGAGGTTGCTGCACCGCCAACATGGTGAGAATGGGCACGCACGACGATTCTGGACCCAGCGTCTTCATTCCTGGCTCGTGCGATCTCCCGATGGGTGAAATGTTGCCTTGCATTCAGTATGATCATCGTCGTGTTCCAAACCATGTCAGATCTTCAGACGTATGGCGAGCGCAAGGTTCAGCGTTACTGCGAGAATGTCCTGGACATCGCTGTTGGGGGCCTTGATCCTGGTTGCTTTTCTGTTGACAATTCGAACGCCAGACTCCGTTTTGGTTGCTCTGATACTGAGAAACTCGATGATCCAACCTACTATGGATATCCTGAAAACTTTGGTAGCAGCATCGTGGACGACAGACTTTCGTGCGATGGATCAGACAAGGTACTTCTAAGCGTTAAGAACCTGAATGGCTCGTCATATCGAGACCAACTTGATCTCATCATACCTTTTCGACAAGATAACAATCTAATCCAACAGGATAGGCGTTTGAGTGTGTGCAAAAAGTGGGAATACGACAACCTTCACGTGACCTTCTTCGAGTTCGGCAATGGATATGTGGCGATGGAGTCTATATTCACACTCACATATATGTTCGAGCTCACGACCGCCCTGTTTGTGTGCGAAAACTACCGCACACATTTCAAGAACCCTCTCGTATTCATTGAAATGGCGTCTTTCATCTTATTTTTCGTCGCT